GTACACACAGCAAATTTTAATAAAATTTAAAATTAGGCAATAAGACCACTAGCTTCATCATTTGCCTTTGCATGTGTTTGGAACACTGTGTGCGTGTGTGTGTGTGTGTGTGTGTGTGTGTGTGTGTGTGTGTATGTGTGTGTTTAGAACAGGATGACCAAGTATGTGAGCCAGGCTGTTGTTGCCAAAGTTTCCTTTTGAAGCTCAAGTCATGGAAGCAGCCATGATGTCAGAAAGCCATTGCTCACTAGAGATGAAATGTTGGTTAGCATTATCCTTGCCTGCCACAGAAACTTAGAGCAAGGTTAGACTAGAAAGCTCTTCTGGACACAGCAGTGGGTATTCGAAGGTTGTACCTGTGCCCTGCAGGTGAGTCTGACATCACCAAGTTCATGAACTATTCATTCGGCATCATGAGCCCTGCTGTCTCCACCATTCTCTCCCCTACCTTTTGTCTCAACATTTTTCCCTTAGCTGTATTAAAGTATAATCAAAAGATAAAAATTCTACATACTTAAAAATTACATGTATCGGTATGTTTTGCTGTATATCTACAGCATCAAGTCGACTAATATATCTGTAACCTTGTACTGTTTTTACATTTGTGTGTGTGTGTGTGTGTGTGTGTGTCTGTGTGTCTGTGTGTGTCTTCATGCACGTGAGGTAAACACAAACACCTAATTTCTTAATAAATTGAATTGTGCAACCTTACTTATTCTTCATCTCGGTTACTGTGGTGTCCATTAGAGCTTCAGAATTCATTCATCCTCTAAATGGTTTGAGTCCTTTGGCCAGCATCCTCCTGGCCAACCCCCACCTTTCCCGACAACCACTGTTCTACCCTGGGTTGCTAGGAGTTCAAGTTCCTCAGGTAATACTGTGTCATTGAAATAAAGTAGTAGTTCTCCTTCTGTTTCCAGTTCTTTTCACTTAGTATAACGGCTTTTGGGCTCACTGGTGATGTTATTCTCAGGATTTCCTTCTTGGGGCTGAATTATTCCACTGAATATTTACCACATTGTTTTTAATTCTTCCACTGGCAAACATTTAGATTGTGTCTCTATCTTGGATGTCATGAATAATGTTGCAAAGGTAATAGGAGTGACAATATTTGCTGATATTGATCTCAATTATTTTTTCCATATAGCCGGAAGTAGGGTTGCAGGATCATATAGTAATTTTATTTTGTTATTTTATTTTTGTGAGTTACCTCCAAACTATTTTGCAGTATGCCTATAACAACACACAATAACAGCAACAGTGTATGAGGGTCCCCATTTCTTAATATTTCTTCTATTTTGATATAGGGTCTCACATAGCTCAGGCTGGCCCTGAACTCATTATGTATTCAAGAATGGCCTTGAGGGCTGGATCCTCTTGCCTCTACCTCCCCAGTGTTGGGTTTCATGCATGTTGGAGGGTGAATGCGGGGACCCAGGCACATCAGGCAAGTCCTCTACCAACTGTACTACATGCCTTGCCTGTCTAGGCCATCTTCAAGGTGATATCTCGTGTCTTGTATTTCTCTTATGATGGTGATATTCTACACTTTCTTATATACCTATTACCTATTCACATGACTTCTTTGGAAAAATATCTATTTGGGCTCTTTGCCCACATTTGAATTGGGTTCTTTATATGTTGCTGTTGAGGTTGTATGAGTTCCTCAAAAGCTATGGTTCTCACACCCTGCTATACATAGGCTTTTGCAGTGTTGGCTGTACTTTTCATCCTGTGCAGATTCGCTTGCCTACCTTTGTTTATATTGCTGTGATTGTGGAATCTAGTCATAAAATCATTTCTAACTTCAGCATCCAAGAAATATTTCCCCAGTGTTTTCTTCTAGGATTTTTATAGTTTCTGATCTTAACATTCAGATTATTAGTCTAGTTGAACTGATTGCATGTGTGTGGTGTCAAGTATCCAGTTTCATTTTTTTTTACATATAAATATACAATTCTTCAACATCATTAATTGAAGAGACTCTCCTTTTCCCTCACAGTGTGGCTTTGGCACGTGTGCTGGAGATTAGCTGAGCATGTATGTGCTCTTTATCCTACTGTTTGTTTACAGGTCTTGTTATAACACCAGTGCCACATCGTTTGGGTTAAGGTAGCTTTGTACTTTGATCAAGTCATATGATACCTCTAGTTTTGTTCTTTGTTGAATTGTTTTGTTTACTTGGAGTCCTTTGTGGTTCCATATGAACTTTAGGATTGCTTTTCTATTTCTGTGAAAAATGTTAGTGGACTTTAACAAAGATTGCATTAAATATTTAGAGCATTTGGGATGTAATAGGATTTAACACTATTAACGCTTCCAACTCATAAGCACATGAGCAGAGAATATCTTGCCACTGATGTCTTCAGTTTTATAGACATCATGGCTGGCTAGGACTGCTGATCGCTTCCTTCCTTTGTAAACTTTCAGGGTGCCTTATAGTGCAATGAAAACTCAAGTCAGTTCCATCCCAAGAGTCTCCAGGCTGTTTCTGAAGTTCATGGTATCTTCAGTATATGAACTTAATCTTCCCACTCTGCTAGATAACCAAGGGCACAGCAATAGGCTGTATTTTGGGGTCTCTCTTGGATACCCTGACCAACAATTCAAAAGAGGGCCTTTGTCAGGTGGTCTTTGACTCTTGGAGAGAGCACTGTCAGCCCAGATGAGAAACTTATGTAAACAGTTAATAATGTTATTCCTTGTTATTTTACCCTCGCCCCTTCATCTCCTGTGTTTACCTCCCCATTTCTCCTATCAGATCACTGCATCCTGCTATCTTCACTTTCCTTGCATCTTCTTCTGTGTTAACCTCCCTGCCCTTTCCTAAGGAGTCCTCCTTTTCCCATTCCTGATCAAATAACATATAACCTGCTATTCCCCTTCTCTATCGCTTCCTAACCCCGACCCCCAGATCCAAGCAATGGTCCCATGTAAGTTTTCTGGTTTTTATAATTACTACAGGCTACATACTTACAACTGAAGATGTAGAGCTGGGAGCCTCCACCAAGAAAGAACAGGTTGCACTTCATTTTCTGGGTCTGGGTTATCTCACTCAATACAATCTTTCCTAGTTCTGTCCATGTATGAGGCCGGACTTAGAAGGAAGACACGGGAAGTCTGGGTATGAAGCTGGGGAGAGGGCATCACAAGGGTTCTGTCTGTATTGATTTCTGTATCCTGCAACTGTCCTGGTTCTTTTTTCTATCCTGCAGTTTCTCTGTAAAGTCTTTAGAAACTTACAAAATGATGTCTTCCTTTTAAGAGGCAACTCACTGTGTTTTTCTTTTCTGATTTGGATTTTGTTGTTTTACTTTTTTTTCTTACCCAATTGCTTTGGCTAGGACTTCTAGTGTCTCCCAAGTTAAGGATGGAGAGCAGCTGTCCTAGACTTCCCCCCTGACCCTGGTGGAAAGCTCTCAGCTTTCTGCTATCTGAGTGTGCTGTCAGTCGGGTGAGCTTCTCATCTGTGACTTTGATTGCATTCGAGTGCATTCCCTCTATTTATTATTCACAGAGAACTTCCACAGTGAATGTATGCTTAGTTTTTTTAGTTGTTGTTTGTACATCTTTTGAGACAGTCTTGGGGTGTTTACCCTCTGTTCTGTTGATCCAGCCTATCACATTTACTGATTTGAATGTACTGAGCTATTCTTAAGTCCCAGAGCAAACCCCACTGGATCATGGTTTATGGTCCTGTTAATGTGCAGTTGGATTCAATTTGCTAGCACTGCTAAGGATATGTTCACCTGGACTTGTCAAGAATACTGGTGGGCAGTTTCTCCTTTGTATAGTGTCCTGGCTTCAGTATCAGGGTCTCATAAAATGAATTTAAAGTATTTCCTACTCTTGAATTCTTTGAAAGAATTGGAGGTCTGCATGTTGTCATCAATTTAAATGACATATTCTTCAGAGCCTGGTGAAGTAACACCCAGGGCTCAAGGCTGACATCATCCACTCCAGAGACATGTCCTCTGATCACCACATGTGCCCTGCAACATGTGTGCACTTGCACTCACACGTATCATATTCACACAGTAATGAATTAATTTAAAACATAAATGGCACATGCTATATACAATCCATACTGTACCACTGTCTTCTAACCAAAGCAGCTTGCTGAGAGAGGATTAGATACCATGGTCTGGAAATGATTTTCGGTGGTATGGCCCTTAGTATGTCAACCAGTTTTCTAGTTGCATCAGAGTGTTGGCTCACAGTGAAACAAAAGTCATCTAACGCCCCTTACCTGTTACCACATGCCTTTGACTGCTACATGCAATATTTGTACTTCAACCCAAGCTGATTTTGCTTCTCATTGATTAAATTTATCTGTCTACTCCTGTCAAGAATTTTATTTTCTATGTTTATCTTGTTAGGTGAGAATTCTACAATACAGAAATGAACTCTTAAGACCCATCATTGCACAGACCCTTTCTAAGGCCTCAGGAGGGGCCTTTAAGACTTTTGCAAACCTAGCTTAAAATATTTTAACTCTAATCAATCTTTCTGTTTTCCACTCCCTCTTAATGTCCATCACCTCTATGCGTCCGGGCGTCCATCACCCCTATGCATCCGAGCGTCCATCACCTCTATGTGTCCAGGCGTCCATCACCTCTATGTGTCCTGGCGTCCATCACCTCTATGCATCCGGGCATCCATCACCTCTATGTGTCCGGGCATCCATCACATCTATGCGTCCGGGCGTCCATCACCTCTATGTGTCCGGGCGTCCATCACATCTATGCGTCCGGGCGTCCATCACAGAAGCCTAATGCGTGGGAGTGGAATGAAGGCAATATTTTAAATGTGCATCCCAAATATTAATATTTTGGATAACTTTTCCAAATCTTATAGCTCATCTACAAAAGAGATCTAGAGGAGTTCTCCTAAATTTGACAAAGATTCAAAATATTAACAGACCATAACCATGGTAATTTTCAGTTAACTGTACTCGAAGCTGGTGATGCTGAGTAACTATCTTTCTATTCTCTATCTAGGATGAGACTACAAAATGTGTCACAAATTAAGAAGCCATCAAGTAATACGAAGGCGAAAGAGTGAAGGGAGGAGAGATAGCATGAAGATGAGTCTAAACTGGCGTGATCTTTGAGGATATTATAGATTCTCAGGTTCAGTATTTGTTGTGCTTCTTTTTTTCTTTTTTAAGCAAATAGAAGACTTTTTTCTAAAAAGCTCTATAAATGTTAAGTCATGAGAAAATGCTGTAGCGAATTAACAGTATGCGGGCTTTTGCAACTTGAGTGGAGAGAGTGAACTGTGGGTTTTGTTGAAATTTCTCCGCTTTTGCTTCCCATCAGAAGCTACAGCTTTTGTGCACTGAGAGAGGTACAATGAAGTCACGGAATGTCAGGTGTGTTCACCTGTGTCCACTGCAACATACAAATAAAAAGGACTTCAGCGAGTCGGTAGGGGACCCAGAAGCTGACCCAGAAGCTGATGGAGTCCTCAGGAGGCTACATAAGACACCAGCTGCAGTGAGGCAGTGGTGGCCCACGCCTTTAATCCCAGGCAGATGCAGCTACAAAGTACGTTTCCAGGACAGCCAGGGCTACACAGTGAAACCCCGTCTAAAGAAAAAAAAGAAAACCCTCCAGCAGCACGCATGGGCAGAATATCTAACCCTAGGCAGGGGTTACTCGACATTGTGTGAGACCCGAAATGTGATCAAGTGAAGGCTCGAGGAAGCGATCTCACTAGGAGAGGAATACAACGTTATAGTGTTATACACCTGTGTGAACACTCATTTAAACTGAAGGGAAAAATCACCAGGAATTTAAGAAAGTTGCCATTCTGTAAGTGTCATAGAATATAGGAAACTAATATACCTTATAAATTTTCATTAAACATACCTTTATAGTATGTTTTTCTACATTTTGACCCTATCTTCTTAAGGACATAGTTATTTTGTTTATATCTACACAAAGTTCTCTTTAAATATTCATTGATTCTTCATTAGTTATGGAATATACATAATAAAGTCTTAGCAATCTGATATAATTGAGCAGACACCTCAAAACAGAGATCTAAAATACAGAATGATTAAATTGTATGAAATTCAAATTCTCCTCCGTCCACATGACTGCCTTAGGCAGAGCTAAACTATAAATGTGTCATTTATATGCAAAGTTAAAATTTGTAGCAGAACTAAATAATATCATAATATCATGAGTGCAAGACTCCTGTTTCATAAAAATAATAACCACAAAAACTGGATTTCCTGAGCCATTTACTTAGACATTTAATTTAAAAATTTGAATTTAAATAATTTTAAATACTGTATTTGATGATAATATTTTGTATTTCAAATATCACAAATATTAAAATCCTAGTTTCAGTTACTAGGAGTCAATTGCATAGGCAGGCCATTTTCCAGAGGTTAAGGTCAAGAACATGAAACTTATGTAATATATAATTTCAGAAACACAGGCCTGAACAGCAAAGCCCTTAGCAGCATACTGTAGCTTACTTAATACCTGCTGCTTCAACTAACAACAGAAAGGAAAACAATTGTTCTGAAATTAGACCTTTAGCCACAATAACACACCAGTTATCAAAATTAAAATCCATTCACGATCACAGTATGTCGAAAACTCTTGCTTGTAGACAGTAGCTTTTATTTTTTAAATCTAAATCTATAACATAACTTGTATTGTTTAGAAAACAGACAATTTATAGGAGAATAGTGAACTGCTGACCAATCCTTTTCTCCAGGTGAAATATCTGGGATAAATGGAAGCCTGTACCAAGAGAAAGGATGGTAAGCATCTCTGGCACCTTCTACTGATCTTCCTTCTAATCTCATCAAAGATGAGTCAAAAGGCCCTTCAGAGGCTTGGGACACTGAACTCACTTTGAGGATTGTCAGAGAAGTGGGGGCAGGACCCACCTTATCTGTTAGTTGTCTATCTTCCTTTCTTTGATCTGACTATTCCTAGAAATAATTACGCTCTTTGGGTTTCATCTGGTACACGCTAGAGTTTCTCATTATTTTCACTGAATGATTTGCTCAAAACTCTAAATTTTGCATCGTAAAGGGCTGCCAAGTAACTCAAGCATGAGCTCAGGACTGACATCTGTAGTCGGACAGTAAAGGAACCTGGTAGAGTTGCAGCAGCACAGCGAGCTGCTTATGTTCTTTCACTTTGGAGAGTGGCTCGTTTAGAAATACTGAGCATGAGCCTTGCTGACATGGGTAATCCAGACTCAGCCATGGAGTGGCTGCCTGTGAGAAAGATATGGGGGACCCAGCACTGTGGCACACAGGGCAGTATACAAGCTCCTATCCATGATGCCCAAAAAGAATAGGAAGCACTGTAGTGTGCTTTAATTTTTCAAGAAAAATAAACCAGAAGTGTGTGTGTGTGTGTGAGAGAGAGAGAGTGTGTGCGTGTGTGCGCGCGCACTTGACATTTAAATGATAATTTAAAAGATTTTATAAAACTTTTTAAAAAGTTTTTTAAAAAAGCAGAAAGCCTGCCTGCCGAGGGCACCGTGGCTTCTCTGAGCAGCGAAGGCACTCAGAGAACCTGAACTGCAAGGCCAATTGCATGCCTCAGAGAGATTGCCAACCTATGCCAGACCTTACCAAGGACTGAACAAATTAGACACTAACCAGATGACAGACAACAAAAACAACTATCTTTCTACACTGTCAACTACCTTACACTAATATTTCCTCACATAACCATTACAAGAGAAAATGAACACTTACCTAAGAACTATACTGAAGCCCTTTTGAGAACACTTATAAAATTCCACTCTAACGAACCTCCTAGAGATTCCCCCCACCACCAGCTGCATATTTCTATTAATTCTCCTGGCTCTCTGGGACTCTCTTCTGTCTCTCCCATCCCTAATCCTCCCCCATTCCCCTTGCACTCCCCTCTATCACCCAGGTCTGTCCCTCCCTCTGCCTCCCATAACTATTCTGTTCCCCTTCTAACTAGGATTAGTAAGCATCCTCACTTGGACCTTCCTTGTTTAACTTCTTTGGGTCTGTGGGGTGTATCATGGGTATTCTGACTTTTGGCTACTATCCACTTGTCAGTGAGTACATACCATGCATGTCCTTTGGGTCTGGGTTACCTCACTCAGGACAATATTTTCTAGTTCCATCCATTTGCCTGTGAAATGAATTATGTCCTTGTTTTTAATATCTAAATAGTATTCCATTGTATAAATTAAGGAGGCTCCCCAGGAGTCAATGCAGGTGATCTTAGCCAAAATGCCAAACAGTGGGGTATGGAACCTGAAGATAACACCTCCAGTAGCCAGATAGGACACCCCCCGCCCAGTGGAGAGATGGCAACACCAACCCACCTACAAAACTTTTGACACAAAATTGATCCCATCTAAAAGAAATACAGGAACAAAGATACAGCAGAGATTGAAAAAAATGGCCAACCAGTATCCAGCCCATTGTGAGACCCATCCCATGGGCAATCACCATTCCCTCACACTATTAATGATGCTATGTTGTGCTTTCAGACAGGAGCCTAGCATAGCAGCTCTCTGAGAGGCTCTACCAAGCAGCTGACTGAGACAGATGCAGATACTCACAGACAAACACTGGACGGAAGTTTAAGACCCCTATGGAAGAGTTAGAGGAAAGGTTGGAGGCCCACGAAGAGATGGCAACCCCACAGGAAGACCAACAATGTTGACTAACTTGGACCCCTGGGAACTCCCAGAGACTGAGCCACCAACCAAAGATCATACATGGGCTGGTTCGAGGCCTCCAGCACATATGTAGCAGAAGGCTGCCGTGTCCTCCCATGGCCTCAGAGGGAGAGGATGTGCCTAAATTTCCAGAGACTGATGGACCAGGGTAGGAGAATACTGTCCTCTCAGAGATGAAGGGAATGGGGGGTGAGGAACTCTGCAAGGGGGGACCAAGAGGGGGCAGCTTTAGTGATGGAAATGAATTAAGTAGGTAAGTAATGAATAAATGAATGAAAGTTCCACTCTTAGAATCCTAATCTGTGAGATAGAACACGTGAGGGGTCTATTCAGACCACCTGAGAATGAGCTCGTGGTCCGCAGCTAGGCTGAGCCTATTTCTTTCTTATCTGTGATGACTGAGCCCAACAGTCGGGGAAGAAACAAGTTCGGTCTTCTCTGAACAGAGAAAACACGTTGAGAAGGAAATTATAAACGTTGTACCAGTCTGCTCAAAGTTACATTCTACACTATATCTTTGATATTTCCAAAGACATTGACAATGTGATTATGTGTATCCACTGGAAGCAAGGTCTGAGCAGTCAGATCTCTTCACTTCTTACACTGGCTGATGGGCTCATTCATCCCTTAATCACTGAACCTTGGTTACAGTCTCACAAGGTCCCACCTCTAGGTGAAGATCTTTAGGCAACTTGTGGCTGCTGAGAGACGGAGAATCAGTGTTGTCAAGGACAAGTGCCCTGAAAGGTTATCCAATCCTGTGGTCAACCCTAAGTACATATATGTATGGAACAACACTAAATAGACTCAGGAGGTTGTGCTTACATATACATATATGTATGCATACATGTATGTATGCATGCATGCATGCATATATATATATATATATATATATATATATATATATATATATATACATACATACACACACACACACACACACACACACACATATAGTTGGAAGAGGTTTTTTGGTTGGTTGGTTGGTTGGTTGTTGGATTGGTTGGTTGGTTGGTTGGTTGGTTGGTTGGTTTTTGGATTTATTTCAAAACAGGGTTTCTCTGTGTAGCCTTGGATGTCCTGAAACCTGTTCTGTAGACCAGACTGCTTCAAACTCACAGACACCCACTTGCTTTTATTTCCCAAGTGCTGGGATTAAAGGCATGTGCCACCACTGCCTGGCCTGGAGGAGTTACTTACCAAAAATAAACTCATTTATCTCAAAACTAAAATCAATGTTAAAAATAAACAATACACAGGAGTGCTCATAAAATTAAAGTAGGTGGTATAATATAAACTGTCTCACACATCCTGAATGTTTGGCTGCTTGTTTGTAAAAATGATGATCATACATGTATGAATGTGAAATATTCCCCAAATGCTCTTTGGTTTGGTTGAGATGTTTGTTTTGATTTTAAAATATTTATTTGTTATTGTATGTGTGTGCATGACATGCTTTAATACATGTGGACCCATGGGTGTGGAGGTCAGAGGACAACTGTCAGGAGTCACCTTTACATGGTTTCCAGAGATTGAGCTTACGTCTTAGAGTCATACAAAATAGTTGCACACCTTATGAAGGGCTCCACGATTGTCAACATTGATCTTTCACCCTCTATTCAACCATATTCAAGCTAATGTGTTCAGAATTGTGATGACCCACAGCAGACCTGCACAAACCCTCTGGTTAAGAAATATATACTGTAACCATTTTGTTCATGGAATCATTATCTAGTGAGCAAGACTATGTACCCAGTGCTGTTCTAGACAAGAAGGATGCATTTCATCACGCTATTTAAAACAAATTATTTTAAAAAAACAACAATAATCAGTGCAGTAAGCAATGCAATGGGTTTACTCAGAGCACGATTGGATGGCTCCGTTAGCTTAACTAGTCATCTAAGAGAAAACTCCTTACGAAAGTTAAAATGACCTTTAAATAAGAAAAGAAAGCTTGTGGTGTAAAGTATGAGGAGGTGCCCCCCACAATGAGACACAATGAGTGTTTGGGGAGCACTTAGGAGAACTCAGTGGACTAAACGGAATGGACAAAGGTGACACTTGTGAAGTGGAGGAGGAGCAAAGAAAGGTCGGATCACACAGGCACTTTCAAGCCCTAGTAAGGAAGGTGCGTTTCATCCTTTTCAAAGAAAGTTGATGCCTAGTTGTGTTGTGTAGGAATAAGAAATGAGAGTTTTGAAGCCAAGCACCTTGAGTACACGCACAACAGTGTCAGACCCACACACCTAAAATGGATCTCAGATGGCTCTTGAAACAGGCACTGAACTGGCAGTAGACAGCACACAGAGCTTAAACTGTAGGCAAAGTAAAGTGACAGAGACCTCTTGGCTGGGGAAGTGAAGAACATGGCCATGCACTTTGAGAGTAAGATAGAAAAAAAAGGCTGGACATGGGATGATAAAGTCAAGGAGACTCCTAGCTGGAAAGTCTTTAGTGTCTGAGGAGCTGGGAGCCTTCGCAGACTTGGAGTCTGTGCTTATTATAGAGCACAGCCTCCTCCTAATGTAGTGAAGTCCCATGGTTCCAACCATGTCAATATGTACATTAGGGACAGAAAGTACCTACCTGGGCAGTAAGTGCCAAGGGAGGTTGTGAGTAGTGTCTGATGTTCTGTTGTGACTCATGGAGACCCATGGTGTTTATGCATTCTGAAATATGTACAAGCAATTTCTAGGAAGGTAATCTGATGGAAAAATCAAAATTCTAAGACCTATATATGCCTTTGGTCCAGCACTTGTACCTTTACTAGTGCACTGCCTATAGAACACACAGTGCAAAAACTGTATGTGTGAAGATGTTCTAGAAGAAGCTGTCGGACTCACATATACCACTCTGAAGTTTTGGATGCATGCTCATGTGTTCAGACATCATCCCAAAGGAAGCACCCCCTCCATCTGCATGTCCTCTGTCTTTCTTTGTTTGTTTGTTTCTATTTTTTCATTGAGTTTAGATAGTGCTGTCTAGTGGAATGTTGACTGATCTTGTGTGTGTGTGTGTGTGTGTGTGTGTATGTGTGTGTGTGTGTAAACATGTGCATGTGCACACAAGTTCAAATGCTTGTGTGCATGTATGCAGGCATGGCTGCTTGCCTGTCTGTCTGTGTCTGTATATGAACACATGAGCACTGGCACTCCCAGAGGCCAGACTTGTTGAATCCCCTACAGCTGCAGTTGCAGATGGTTGCGAGCCACCTGTGATGGGTGCTGTGACTCAGACTCTTGGCAAATGACCATGGCACCCTTCAGGGTTCCCCTACAGCCTAGAGTTGACTGGCTTTAAAGTGGCACAAGTTTCAGACAGGACTCAGTGGGGTAAGATAAAAAATGTCCCTTGAAGTTTAGTCCAGACCCGATTCTCTCCAGGAAGATGAAGCTGGCAGTGATAAATCCGACATGGCTAAGGTTTTCTTTAACCTGCTTTTTACATATGTTTCTGACACATCCAAGAAAAGTCAGTCTCTGGAAATAAATAAGAAAGACATTTCCCAAAACTACACATAAAGAGGACTGCGGTATGAAAGACAGACAAAGTTGGAATCGCAAGAACCCGTTTCAAGTCCACCACACTGGCCAACATGGTGTGGCCTTGCTAGTCTTAAGGAGGCCAGCATGCAGCATCCTTCCCAGGGAGAGACTTCTAAAAAACAAGAATTTCTCTCGTGGCTTAGGAATTGAGAGCACATGTTTTGCCTAGAATACTTGTTACATACTATGAGGTGAAAAAGTAGGAAATACTTCAAACAAATTAAAATCAAGGAAATAAACTCAGTATATACTTGATGGTGAAGGGCGGGTTCTTCTTTTGCTGTGTTGGAAATGAGTCTGTGGTCAACTCCTTAAACAGTGTGCACAGCAGAAGTGTAGCCCTGGCTTCGGTAGGACCTGTTGGCTATTTCCCTCCTCACCAAGGCACACCCAGCATCCCCTTTACTCAGAATAACCTTTTTGCTTAATGTCTTCTATTTCTGGAAACTGAACAAGAAGATGAACCTTTAAAAGAAGAAGGAAAAGGGAGAAAAGGAAGGAAGAGGAAAAGTAGGAGAGAAAGAGAAAGTCTTAGATGGTGTCTTTCTCTCAAAAGCTCTTTAAGAATGAAGTACTTCCCTGCTTTCTTCACTGGGTTGGGTATACATTTCTCTCTAAGGGAGGAAGAATGCATGCTGACTACACGGGCAGGCGGGCCGCCCACAGCATACAGAGAGGAAAGCTGCTAGAAGAACAACAGCTGGGCTTATTTAGGCATCATCCCCTCACATCTGACTAGAAAGTCCTTCCTTCCTCTGCACCCAGATCAACTCTCTGGTAAACCTTATCTTTCAGCTCAGTAACTCCTTAATGCCTCTCAGGCCCACCTCCAGTCCCCTCATTACACAAAGCAAGTAGCCTATAAAAAACCAAACCAAAAACAAACAAACAAACAAAAAAGTAAGATTTAGCAAACGTCCCCTTTTTCCAGTTGACTAACTTTCATAAGTTTGTTTTTTTGTATATTATACAGAAGCACAACTATGAGAACATCTTAGTACCAGACACAGCACCACATGCTGGGAGCAGGAAGGCTTGCTAAGAACACAAGGCATCTCTGTTAGGGTGATGCTGGACACAGCACCCCAGGAACGTCTTTGTTCAGCCCGAGACAGTGTAACAAGTTGTAAGAATGAAATGCAAAGTCTATGTGGAACGTGGAAATGATAAGGAGATAATAGAATATGATCTGAAGGAAGCTTAGTAATCGTCATGGAAACACAATCATGGCAGGTCATACTTTCATGACAACTGTTCAAAGACCTTTCACCTCCATTCTTATTGAAAAACCTCAGTAATATTTATCCCACACCAGCACAAAGCTACAAGAAAATCATGTTTGTGGATGTTTGCATTAGATTTTTCCTTTACTAAAAAGCAAAAAATAAAACAATCAATGACAACAAAAGGGTTACCGAAGTTACC